CTGGTGGGTGTGGGTGGGCGCACAGCAGACCTGCTCGGGGCAGGGGACCAAAAGATGGGGCTTCCATCTGGGCCTGGCATTGGACAGGGCACTGCTTGGTTTTGCCCTCATGCTGGTCCATGCTGGCCCCCTGTGTCCACCCTCCTGAGTCAGGTACCTGGGGCCATGGGAACCGGGGATGGTGGGTCAGGTTACTCACAGGCACAGCAGGCAGAGGAGGTGTAGCCCCGGGCAGGGGGTGGTATTGGTGGAGAAGAAAGGGACGGTGGAAAGGCCAAGGCATGAGCCACGTCAAGCCTGCTCAGGATGGGCGAGGCCAGGGGCCAGCCAGACTGAACACCCAGCCAAAAGGCTGGGATGTCCAGAGCCAGGGACAGAAAGTTGCTGTGGGACCTGGGTCTTCTGCTCTAGTTCACTCAGCTTAATGTCCATCCCCTAGCCTTGCCACATGCCCCCCGCAGTTTCTCTGTTGCTTTTTTTCAAGTGATAATTTTTGGTTTGTTTTTTGTGTTTGGTACTGGGGATTTAACCCAGGGGCACTTAACAACCCAGCCACGTCCCCTGCCCTTTTTAATTTTTTATTTTGAGACAGGGTCTCATTAAGTTGCTGAGGCTGGCCTTGAACTTGAGATCCTCCTATTTCAGCCTCCAGAGTCATTTGGGGATTACCAAAGCATACATCACCATGCCTGGATCAAGTGGATGATTTTTAATTAAAAGTTTTGTTTTGAGATAATTGTGGATTCATGTGCAATCGTTAGAATGACCCACAGATCCCTGGTACACTCTACCCAGTTTCTCTCAGTGGTAACACATTGTCCAGTATCACAACAAGGATGTTCACATCAGTGCAGGATGCAGCCCACACTGGATCTGTGTGTGTGGGGTGTGTGTGTGGAGGAGTGTGTGTGTGTGGGGGTGTCTGCCTGCCTGCAGTTTGGTCCTTGTGTAAGTTCGCATGTCCACCACTACACATAGGAAAAAGAGCTGTTCCAGCCCCACCAGGTCCCCCGTTACCTGTTACCCTGCACACACCCCTCCCTGACCCTCTGGGCTGTCACCTGGCATGGTTTCATCTTGGGGTCACTTCTGTCTGCCAGGCTCCAAGTTGTTAGGACCTCATGTTGGTGCCTCTCATCTCAGTCCCTGAAACTGACCCCTCTCCCCGTCTCCCCTGCCCCTTTCCTGTGTACCTGGGCTCTCTGCCTGTAGGCCTGACCCCTGCACTGTCCCCAGCGCCCACCCTACTGTCACTGCCACGCCCCATCTCCCACGGCTCCACTGTCCTAGGATAAGGACTGCTGGCTTGGCCCTGGCCCTGCCGGCCACTCTGAGCAAATCACAGGCTGCTGGGATGCCTCCCTGTGGGGCAGTCCCTGTGCCGAGGCCCTGCACCCTCGTTCCTCCTCCTGGATGACTCCTGGCCTCTGCGGATGTCCATGTCCTGTCCAGGCTGGTTGCCCCTTGGCTGGCCATCCCAGCCCTGACCCCGGACACTGTCTGGCTCTGGGTACTCCCTGCTCGTCCCCAGAGGCAGCCAATAACCTGTCGGCAGAAGCCTGGCCTGGCTGAGCGCTGGGGCCGGGAGCAGGCACCTAGCTAGTGTGGGGACCGTGACCGGTGGGTGGTGGGTGGCGGGTGTGTAGGTTGGCCTGCTGTGCCACTCAGGGTAGGGACGGGCCACCAGGGGCTAGTGCGGTGGAGGGAGGGACCGCAGGACGGCCTTCCTCACCTGGCCCCTGCCCTCCAGGTGTCAGCCCTGGCTCTGGAGGAGACGGAGAGCAGCTGCCAGCGCCTTGGCTGCCAAAGCCCCAGCCTGCCCCGGGGTCGGGTGGGCCCCGGGAAGGGGGCGGGGCAGCTGTGACACCCCATCCCAGACCTGGGTCTGTGCTGTGTGACCTTGGGCAAAGCTCACGTCTCCCTGGTGCAGGATGTGGTGGCCACATGTGTGGGTTGAGTGGCTGAAGAGCTGGGCTTTTGAGGTGTCATGTTTGGCTTCTGTGAGGTCCCCAAGTGCCCCGAAGGGCATTCCAGCCCAGCCCGGGGTGGCAGCCCCCTTTGATGGGAAGAGCTAAGTGTCCTTGGGCCCCAGTCCGACCCCTCCAGAAGGGGCCTGGGAGGGGTCGGGGAGGAGGGTGCTGGGAGGGGTGAGGGAGCTGGTCGGTGACCCCTGCCCAGCAAGGGCATTCTGTTCAAGAGGAGAGACGGGTGACCAGCGTCATGGTGGGCCTTGCTCCTGCTACGGAGTCTGCAGGGTGGACATCAAGGAGAGATTGCTCAGTTTTGCCCACCGACATATTCTCAGAGCCCAGAACTGTGCCTGGTATGTGGCAAGGCTCAGAAAACCCACATGGAGCGGGCGAGCGGGCCTGGGCAGAGCATTCTCCAGCCCTAGACCAGAACAGGACGTGACGCTGCTGCCGGATTGGACACGTGATCCACAGGATATCAGCCACCATTTGGTCCACGTGTGTGGTGTGGGCGGAACCTCGCACATGCTAGCAAGCCCTCTGCTACGGAGCCTCCCCCAGCCCCAAATTCTCCCTCTGACAGCCTGCCACTCGGTGGATTTTGGTGCTTTGGAGACGTGCTGCACAGCATCCTGGCTGAGGGCTGCTGGCTGGAGGTTGGGGGTCCCTTCGTGTGAAGCACACCTGCTACTTCCTAAGAGCCAGGGTGGGCGGCAGCTTCCAAGAGGGGCGGAGAGCCGGTCAGCTTCTTAAAAGCACCGGGATCAAATCCCTAGAGCATGCAGGGGAAGTAAATCAAATACCCGGGCTAATATCTCATGAAGATAGAGGATTAAGTGGAGCTGTGAGCCTCCTAGCAGCCAGGACAGAAGGGGAAATAGGATGAGGTCAGGAACTCATTGTCTGGCCGCAGGAGGCTGATGAGTGCATTGGGAGACTTTTGTTTTTCCTGTTACCCAATTTATTTTTTGCAGGTGTCTTATATGAGAAAGGAAAACAGGCAGGTGTCAAATCCCCAGGCTTGGCTGGTGCCTGCCCATCCGAGGCTCTCGTTAAGCCTTTGATAAAGTGAAATATTGAAGAAGGTCCTCAGAGGCCATCTCCCCGGGCTCACGGCTTCTGAGGCTGCTTGGAGAAGGCAGCTCGGGGCCCAGTGCGGGAAGAGGTGCTCCAAGGAGCACCCGGACCCAGGGGCAGGTAGTTGGAGGAGCCCCACTAGAAGATGGCATCTGGGCCTCCTCAGACCAGGGCCTTCTGCAGGATGGTGCTGTGCCCTCACAGTCCTGCTGCAGGAGGGTGAGGTGGGTGGGGTCACCTTGTTGTGGACATCAAGAATTCCAGCAGTGTCCAGCACTACCTGCTGCCCCCACCCACATCCCCCAGAGATGCTTCCAGGTATTGCCAAATGTCCCCCGGGGCAGAGTGGCCTCCTGTGCAGAAGCAGAGTTGGAGAGGCCCCAGGCCTTCCCACCTGACACTCCGTGGCCAGGCCCGGGGGCGTTGTGTTCTGCACCCTGCACCTCCCTCCACCCGGATCTGATCATCACCCAGGAAAGGGGATGGCACAGTGGGGAGGAGGCACGGCCACCTCCTGCCCCCTCACCCAAGCCCAGGGCCACCTCTGTAGCAGCAGTGTGTGTGCAGTATTCTGAGTATTTAATCGTTTTGTTCTGAGGTTTGTTTTCTTTTTAAGTGGAGTGGGAAATGGGCAAAGTAAAAGCACCCCCAGGCTGGTGAGAAGCAACAGTCTTTCCGCCAAGGCAGACATCACCAGTTCCGCAGAGTGAACCTGAGACCAGGTCAGGAAGGAAAGTCATGAGACCAGGGGACACAAGCATGGTGGCATGTGAGTGATGGGGAGTGTCCTCTCAGGCCCGGCACCTGGGCCACATGGCACAGAAAATGCACCAAACAAGGCTCACGTGCCGTTCTGGGCACACAGAATTCCGCTTATGCCGGGCAGGGCTCCCCCACCGTGACCCGCTGTGGCGCACGGCCAGGGTCACCTTATCCATGGAAGCAGGGGCTCCAGGCATCTGGGCCAGGATCAGTGGAGAAGGGGACTCTTGGGCTGTGGATTCAGAAGTGTGTCATAGAGGTGGCCAGGCATTCTCACTGTGGAGCTCTTGCCACCCCACAGGGACCTGGACATAGATGCCTTGCGCCAGAGTCTTAGAAGTGAGGATCTTGATACGCTGATCCATTCAATCGGGCAGGCATTCGGCAAGCAATCAGCGAGGGCGCACCCTGTGTCGGTCACTCTACTAAGCATGGAACATGCAAAGATAAGTACGGGAACCTCAGGAGGCTGCTGGTTTTGTGAAGCCTCCTCAACCTACACGACTTTTGTCTGTGCTGTCGTGTAGGTTGCTCACTGCGCAAGAGCATCCAGGAGGGCAGTGGGAACCCATCTTCCTCCCCAGCACAGGTGTCTGTCCGCCCAGAAGGGGTGCTGTTTTCACTAGCAGTCAGGACTCAGGAGGGCTGGCAGCCGGTGATCAGAGATTCCACAGAAGGACTGAACCAGAGGCCTTGGGTGTTTACTCAGGGAAACTAACAGTGAAAGGAAGAAATCACAGAAGAGGGGCCAAAGAGGAGCCCTGACAGCCCAACGGGGAGTCTCACCCAGTGCCGAGGTCACAGAGTCCCCAAGAGGGGACCACGAAGTCAGGGGTCGGGAGGGGTGAGGCTGCAAATGCCAGGCCTGGGGCTTGGGGGACAGGAGCCTGGAGGAGGATCCTTGGGCCAGGGTGTGGGAGGGGGCTAGAAGCCACCTCGCCTCCGATTCGGCCTGCTGACCCCTGCCCTCCCCGCCGCCGGCTAGCCCCTCCCCGCTGTCCAGATTCCCACCTCCTGATTAGATTTGGGAAGGACTAATTAGATATAATTCATTATCCTCAAAAATGAGATCAGAAATCAGGAGCTCTCCTCAGAAGAAGGAGGCCTCGCCCCTCATCCATCATGCCGCTAAGTAACCAATTTAAAGTCAGGCGGACGCACGCGGCAGCATTATTACCTTGTCATAAACGGTTAGGGGAGGGCCCCCGACGAGGCAGCTTTATAAATGGTTTTTACCACATTAGTTTCCAGTTATTTGACATCCACTTTGCTTAAGATAAATGCTGAACAAATAATCAAATTATCAAGCCCAAACCTGGGAAAGTCATTTGCATTAATTGTAGCAGGAGGGGCCGGGCATCCAAATTTGGAGAGCCCCCTGCCCTGTCAGGCCCGGCTTGGCAGGAAGGGAGGGAGGAGGACTTCCGGCTGGGGTGAGAAGTTGGGTCTGGGAGCTGGAGGCACCCAAAGGCCCCAAATGGGTGGGCAGGCCAGCCCCTGGGTGCAGGCCACAGGACCTGTCAGGAGCCAGAGCGGGCGCGCTCCCGGGCCCAGGGCCGCCGTGTGGTGACTGGGCCTGCCGCCGCCTCTGTCATGTGTGTGCCGAGTCATGCAAACACGCAGACGGCGCACCACGGTTCTTACTGTCTGTTGCCGGGAGCCAGTGTCTTTTGTCTGGCCCCAGAAGGGCCCTGTCACAGGCATGAATGGACCCCCTGCCCCTACAGAACATGACAGCTTCAGGCAGTCCTTGCCCCAGGCCCGTCTGGTTCCTGTCCTGGCCACCAGTGCTGGGCAGGTGGTGAGGAGCACCCTGGGCCTGGGCGGGACGTGTCCAGGGGCACCCGCTGACCCTCCTCCAGCTGGGCCGGGAAGGCTCCCTCCAGCAGCAGCCTTTGAGCAGAGAATGGCAATTTCACGCTGTCCCCAGGAGGCCCTCCTGAGCCCCAGCTGGGCCAGGCCTGGGCCAGCCCCATAGGCACCCACCCCCCACCCCAGCAGGGCTGGCCCCAGCCTGTCCAGCCTCTTCCACACAGAGCAGGGCAGGTCCTCGCTGCTCTTCTGGCTGCAGACGCTGGCTTAGCTTCAAAGAGTGTTCTGTGTGAGAGTGTGCACGCTGCCCCTGGAGACTGTCCCCTCTGGGGCTGTCCCCTCTGGCCTCAGAGGTTGTGCTCTGTGAGTGTCTCCCCTGGCCTAAGAGGTGGGGCCAGTGAGAGCTTCCTGTGGTCGGTGTAGAGCTGCTTGGAGCTGCCCAGGAAGGGACTCCTGATGCCCCTGTGAACAGGACAGAGAATCGCCATGCTGGGGCCAGTGGCTTGGAGTCTGACTCCAGCCTGACTCCTGTGAAACTTTGGGCAAGTCACTTAACTTACTCTGTGCCTTGGTTTCCTCATCTGTAAACTGGATCACCATGAGGGTCGACGTTCACAGAGCACTTGTGTCATAGCCCAGAGAAGGGCTGGAAACGCAGTGGGTCAGGGGGCTGCAGAGGCCAGCTCGGACACGTGGGTCTCAACTCTTCCTGCCTCTAACAACTAGGAGTCACTGAGCAGCTCGGGGACCGAGCCACCCTGCACCCAGACGGTGGGAGTCGATGTCTGCTGAGGCTCTTGGGTGGGACAGGGATGCAGACATGCAACAGGTGGTGACAGGACCCTTTGAGAGGTGCCCTGAGAGGACACACAGCAGGGACTGGAGAGGCCCAACAACAGCCCGTGACAGTGCGGGTCCTCCTGGAACTGTCTCTGCAAAAGCAGCGTCTCAACTAAGAGGTGGGCTGGACCAGGGGGCAGGGGGCGCCCCACCCAGGACACGCCCCACGCAGGCCACCTCCAAGGTCCAGCTGGCTTCTGCCCAGTAGCTCCTTCAGCACTGAGCAGTGGGGCTGGGCAGCAGCCGGGTGGGGCGGGCTGGCCGCTTCAGGCAGCTGCTCTGGTCGGTCGGCAGGCGGAGGCCACCATGCAGGGGGCACTGAGGCTGAGCGGAAGCACATGGTCGCTGTCTGTTTATTGGGCAGCGGAGCAGGTTTAATGGGCTAGCCCCGGAGCCATGGTGGGAAGGCCTCAGAGGAGCCCTGGACGGGTGGCCCCCCTCCCTGCAACTGCCCCAGCTCAGCTGGGCTTGCCCGAGCCAGGAGCCTGGGGCTCTGGGGGCCCCGCCTGCTCCTCTGCAGCCTGTGGTGGGGCAGTGGCACCTGGGAATACCAGGCCCTAGTGGGAGGGTCTGGACCTGCCCACACCATCCTCCAGGCCCTCAGGGCTCCCTGCAAGGTGTGGTCAATGCAGAGGACACCTGGCCAGGCCTGACCTCTGCCCCACCCAGGCGGGCCCCCAGCGCCCCCGGCCCAGTGGTCCCTGCAGCCCCAGCCCCAGCCATCAGTCATCCCCCCCACCCTCGGAACAGCTGGTGCTTCCAGGGAAATTGACTAATGAATCAACAATGCGGGGATTGTGGAGGCGGAGCGGCGGGAAAGGGCCTCCCTCCCAGCACCAGGCCCACCGGGCACTGAGGACACCTGCGGGGCAGCAAGCCCCCGCCCCTGCCCACAGCTCTGACCCCAGCACCCTTCGGGTTAAAGAATGACCAGGACCTGACTGACCCAGGTGCTTGCCAGCCCCGGCCCTGCCAGTTACCAGCTGTGTGGCCTCACGCAAGGGTCCTTACCTCTCTCGGCTCCGTCCTCTCCTCCGCACAAGTGGGATGAACCCATTCCAGGCGTTGGCAGGCTGTGGTCAAGAGGGGCCTGGTGCGTGGGCCTGCTGGGCTGCCGGCAGCTGCAGCGATACAGTGACCGTCACATCACTGCCCAGGAACATCCTTGATGCACGGGTCCCAGTGACCCTTGCCAGGGAGCTTCCTTGGAACCTCCGCTTCCTCTCCTGTAAAGTGGGGCCCGGATCCTCTTTCCCTGAGGGTGGCGGTGGGGACTGGTTCCTGCTCGGAGACCTCCTGGCTTCCAGCCCGGCCTGCACAGCCCTGGGAATTCTGCAGAACCAGTTAGTTCCCTGGCCTGGCCCCTTGCACTCCCACGCCCTGCCCGCAGGAGGAAGGGTGCCTGCTCCCAGGGTGGGCACACGGGCCAGGGAGGTGAGGGCGGAAGTGTGTGGGGCTGGGCTGGAAGCCGGGGGGTGGCCTGTTGGAGCAGGCCCCGGGCTGGGCACAGAAGGCCCATTGTTGCTGGGCCCAGTCAGGCCAGACCCATGAGAACGGCCGCTGCTGCCGAGTTTCGAAAAGTGTCTAGACAGGGCAGCCCCGGGGCCCTGGCCTGGGCTGCCTCCAGGTGGGGCTGAGCCACTCTGGGCAGGCAGAAAGGCTTGCGCCCTTGGCTCAGACGGTACCCAGTAGATACCAGGGAGACGGGGGCAGAGGAAGAATGTATGTGATCCAAATGCTGCTGGCCAGGAGGATGGCCTTGGCCATGGTTCCGTACTTGGGACCTAGAGAGGGGCCTAGACTGAAGTCAGAAAACCCTGGGTTCCAGTCCTGGCTCTTGCTGTGTGACCTGGGGTAAGTGAATGTCCCTCTCCAAGCCTTATCAGCCTCAGCAAAATAACCTAAGCTTTAAGAACTCTGTGGTCAGAGAGACTTGGATTCAAATCCCAGCTCAGCCACTTCCACAGAGTGGAGTGACTTTGGCAAGGGACTTGAGCTCTGCGAGTCCCATCTGTAAAATAGGAATACAAAGAATTCCTCCCTCATCTCTAAAGTGAGATGGCCCAGGGAGGTGTCTAGAGTGGGGCCTGGCGCGCAGTGGGTGTGCGACGAGCCTCGCTGACCGCAGCTGTTGTTACCGTCCCCGGCACCTTGGTTTCTTTTGGGTGAACCCAGGCTTGCAGGGCACTTTCCAGGCCCCACCTGGCACGAGGCCGGCGCGCGGCAGTCCTGGGTGCCTTTTCTGAGACAGTGCTCGGGAGCCTGGCCCTGTTCTTGGCCTTGGTTGCAGTGCCTGGGAAATGGGCTCTTCCTGGACCAGGCCACCCACCAGGTGGGGCAGCAGCCAGGCCTCTTTGGGGAAGCCCCTCCTCTCTGCATGTTGGGGCTATTTTTAGCCGGGCGGGTGGGGCTGCTGCTCTTATCTCTGCCTGACACTCTTGGCACGTGGACCGACAGGGCTCCTCCGCTGTCCTGTGCCAGCTGCACCCACAGAGCCCAGGGGACGCCAGGGAGAGGAAGATGCCTGTCCAGCCACCCCTGCCCCCGCAGCCTCCAGGCCACCCACGGCCAGCCCCAGGTCTGAGGCTGTGGGGGTCTCACATCTGTAAAGGGAGCCAAAAGCCACCCTCCCCTCCCACCACGCTCTGTGTGGTTTCCATGGCGATGAGCACAAATCCCCGGGCCCTTCACAGAGGGGCCTTGTTTGTTTTGCCTGCATAACTCTGCAGGCCCAGAGTCAGAGGCCCCGTTCCCGCCCTGCCTGGCCCAGGCCCCTGCCCATCAGATGGGCAGACCCAGAGGGGCAGGGGGCCGAGAGGGGCGACCTCTACACTTGTCCACCCTGTCTGCAGGGGAAGGACATGCCCCTGAGACAGCACGGGCCGTTCTAGGTGCTTCATCAATATGGGAATCGTGCAAGTCCTTCCTGACCTTGACCAAAGCCACCCGCCTCCCCAATCCTCAGTCCCTCTACCTGCAAAATGGGGATAAAGGTGTCCAACTCGTTTGAGGGGATGAAGCACTCAATAAAGTGAGCCTGACCGTGCCCAGCACCCAGCTGGATCAGCAAGTCCCACTGGGACACCTTCTCCCTGCTGGTGTTGTCTTTGTCGTGAGGAGGAGAGGTGTCCCCAAACCCTGGCACCTCCCTAGCTTCTCCCAGCTCCCCAAGCCACCTGCTGAGCCGCTCCTAGCACCCTGATTCGGGAGGAGGGGTGCAGGCTGGCACAGCCCACAGTCAGGCCCCCTTGAGCTGGGCCCTGGGGGCGGGGGTGGGGCTGCAGCTGTGCGGTGGCATTCCACAGCCCTGCCAACCACTGCTCCTGACTCTGCTGGCTAAATTGAGTCTCGGTTTCCTTAAAATGACTATTTATTGCTTTAATGCAGCATTGAGTATCTACTGAGCGCTGGAGAAAAGGCCTGCCTGGCCGGGGCTCCGTGGCCGCCTGTCAGTGACAGCGTCAGCAGGGCTGCTCTGGGAGGGCGCCTGGGGACTGGAAGCGGCCCTTCTTGCCAGGGAAACAAAGGCCCCTCCCATGCTCCCTGTGCTGTGCTGCAAGGTCTCTGATCCCCCCCGCCCCTGGGTGACGTGTGCTCTGGAGGAGGAGGCCTGCGGGACACCCCAGTCGCCCCTCACCAGCCGTGGAGAATTGCTGGCCTTTGAGCAGAGCAGGCACCAGCTGCCCCCCACCAGCCACTGGGTAGCCCGCCTCTCAGTGGGGCTGGCCATGCCAGCCTCCGGCATCTCAGCTGTGTCCCCGGCATGAACAAGGGGGGCTTGGGCACTCCCTGAGGGCTGCACCATTGTCTCCGGGGTGAATGCAAATGCCGACCAAAGCACAGAAGGCGGCCGGCAAGGAGAGGCCGTGTGTGTGGCGAGACAAATATGGGAGGAGAGACCCTGCGTCCCAGCCAGCACCATAGGGCACGATGCGCTGGTGCCAGGCAGAGGCACCGTGCCACATCTCAGCAGTCCCAGTGACATCCTGCTGGTCTCAGCAGTCCCAGTGACATCCTGCTGGTAGCCACTGTTCCACCCTATTTTACAGATGGGAAAACTGAGGTTTGAGGCTTGATGAGAGGCAGTGGCTGGGCCTGAACCCAGGTCTGTTGCTCAGCTCCCACCTCCCAGGGGCCAGCGCTCTCTGGAGGCAGTAGGCGGACGGGGGAATTGGCCGAGAAGGGCAGGAAGAGGGGATGGCCAGGGCAAAGCGCAGGGCCCGGAGGAGCTGAGCTGGGGAGAGGCTGGCTAGGTGAGGTGCGGGGCCAGCTCAGGGAGAACGCGCCTGGGCGGCTGGACCCTGGATCTCTGTCCAGAAAGAGGCAGAGGCGGCAGCGAGAGGGACCAGGGTGGAAATGGAGGCAGAGGAAGGACCTGCGGGAGTGGGCTACAGCTGGGTGGCGGAGCACGCTTGAGGCCCCGGACCCCGTCCCAGTCCCCCCAAAAGAAAACGGAGGGAAGGAGGAAGAAGTCACTGCAGAGGAGATAGACAGCGGCCTGGCTGGCAGGCCTTTGTGCTGGGAGCCCTGCGAGGCTCCATGCACAGGAGGCACTGGAAGGAGCTGCAGCCCGAGACTCCGGGGGCCGCTCAGAGGAATCGGCCGCTCTGCCCTGTGGCTGTGAGTTGTGCTGGATTGTCATTCCCAGGGACCAGGAGGCCAGCCAGGCCTGGCGGTGGTGCCAGGGCAAGCGCCTGCAGGAGGGCCGCATGGTGGGCCAAGAGGGGAAGAGGGTGACGAGGGCTCCCAGGTCCTGGACCTCAGCTTGGAAGGACGGTGGTGTCCCTTCCAGAAAAGCTGGTTGGAGGGAGATGAATGAGCTAAGGTGGAAACGACCAATGGGTCGCTTTCTTTCTTCTTGATATGTCCCTCTTTTTAGTAGTTCTCACATTGTTTCTTCTGGTGTTATAAAGTCGTCTTGCTCATTGTGAAATAAGCTCAGACGAAGCAGAAGTAAGGGAAGCCCGTGACAGACCTTGTCCCGCGCCTCCCCAGAGTGGGCGACGGAGCTGCGGGTCCAGGCCTCTCCTGCCGCGTGGTTCCTGGAGCCGTTCTGCGCACACCGGTGTTTAGTTTTGCTTTGTTTTGCTTTTTCCATGCTGAGGACCCCATTCCCTCCAGCCTGTCCTCTGCTCAGTGCTCAGCGGCACTGAGGCCACCGCCTGCTCCAGTGCACGCCTTGTTCCTGTGGCCACAGCGTAGCGCTCCAGGGAATGGGTGAGCTCTGATTTATGAGCCCATTTCCCCCTCTGACAGCCTGGGCTGTGGCCAGGGCCTTGCTGTCACACCCACGCCGTCAGCGGGCGTCCTGGTGTGTGTGCCTTTGTGCATCTGTGCTGCCTGACAGAAGCCGGGTGTGGACACAGGGGGCCGTGCTGCCCTGAGGCACCCACAGAGTGTTCCGGGAGGCAGGTGGGCAAAGGGGCTGCGTTCCCAGGAGGAAGAGGGGGCGGGTGGTGCTGTAGAACGGGGGGCAGTGGTCGGAAGGCTTTATGACGAAGTCACAAGAGGACTGAAACCTGGGGGCCTGCCTTTTAGGAGCAGGTGGAGAACCAGGGGAGAGACAAGGCCGTGTACCTTTGTGCAGTTTCCAGAACCAAGGGACGGCTAGGTATGGCAAATAGCTGAGGAGGGATGTGGGCTGAGATGCCCCTTGTTCTGCACCTGGCCCATAGTAGCTGCTCAACAAACACAGGCCACTTCACTCAATCCATGAACCAGTGATCCAGGGTCCAGAGCCTGGAAGTCCCAGTGAGGACGTGGTGCCTGTGGGTATGGACATTTTCCACAGGTGGCTGGCCAGCGAGGTTGGGGGTGCGCGGGGGTGTGCGGGGGGAGGGGATGAGGGACCTTTGTCCCAGCCGGTTAGGAGAGGAGGACAGAGGGAGCCGTGTCCAGGAGGTACTTTTTTGACTGGGGCTCCAGGACAGAGACTCAAGGAGACCAAGGTCTGCGGGGACCTCAGCGGCAGGGGAGGGTCCCTCTGGGCAGGAGGCAGAGCTGAGTTAGGTTGGAACGGGGCTGGAAGTCGGTGTCTAGCGAGCTCAACGCTCACCATGTCCTCCGCCTTCACCAGATGCCCTCGAAGGCCGACTCCAGCGCACAGACCAGGACCCCGCACTCTGGAGGCGACGGCACCTTAGACAAACAGAGGCAGGAGTTGAATCCACACCCTCCAGACCCAGGAGACCCCGACCCTCCTCCTGTCCCCTGCCCCTCCCACAGCCCAGCCCCTGGGAGAGAGCAGCTCCAGGGAGCCGCCTGCTTGCGCCCAGTGCCCCTCGTTGGGAGAGGCTGCTGCACTTTGCAGCTTTGCTCAGCTATTGTGGATCGTCACACGAAGGGCCCCAAACGCTGGCTGGCCATTTAGAGATGGACACAGAGACTGCGGCCGGCCTGGGATCCAGCCCTGCCCTGGCTCAAGCACTGAGCCGAGAGGACAGAGGCGGGAGGGGTGGGGGCGAGGAAGAGGGAGACTTGCCAGGTGGGAAGGTGGGAGGCCAGAGGCAGGAGCAGGCCAGGGCCATCCACAGGGGACAGAGGAGGGTGGTGGGGCCTGGAGCAGGGCCCAGCGGACAAGAGGACAG